TGCGTGCGTGCGTGCGTGCGTGCGTGTGTGTGTGTGCTGATAAGCCTGAGTGGTCTGTTGACTGACCTTTGTATTTGTTCAAATAATTGTTATGGACAGGTTACAATATAAAAATGTTTGTTATAATCATGTCTTGTGATTATTTGACAGGAGTTTTATTTTTAAACTGTAAGTGTATTTAATTTAGTTATAATGTAAATACAATAAGATTTATAATAATTATCATTTTGATCCATACATTAGTAATGTCTGACTGGGCCTTGTGCCACTTTATGTTCAATAAATGATTTTAGTCTTAAATATGTATCGATGGAAGGAATGCTATAGATCTCATTATAAAATCATGTAAAATGTTAATTTTAGATCAAGATGAAAATCGAGTTTAAATCACCAGAAGTAATGAATGAGAATTATTTGTTAATGAATTAGTTTTAGTTTGAGGTGGGTTGGTTAACACTGAGTGGAAAACTAGTATTTTCAGTGAGAGAAAATGTCAAAGTGACAAACCTAACAACACTAAAACACACATGTTGACTTATCTTCTTGCTTCAGACTGTGTAACATGGTCTGTTTTTAACAACAAAACAAGTTTTACTAAGTATAAAGACATGTTTTTTCTGTGCTCGCTCCTTGTTTAACACATGATCTTATTGAGTCCGAGCATCAGAAAGAGGCCAGGCCTCTGAGCCAACACAGCTCATCAGACACGCCTTACTGGGTTCATCTACATCTCTTCTGCCTTTCATTATAATAAACGGTCCAGTTTCACACAGTCTCCCTTGTTTGTCTGCTGCCTTCTTGTGGGCCTTTTCTGTCTTTGATGGTCTGTTGGTCYAACAATGAGCAGGACATCAGTCAGATGCAATAATGGAAGAAGATTACAGCACAGAAGTCAGGGACACTGACCACTGGTTCATTTCATTCAAATGTCTCCTGATGCTTTAAATTAAATATCGTTATAGTGTTGTCTCTTGACTCTTGTCTCTTCTGAAGTCAAAGAAGCTAAAACAGTTCTGTGCAGATCATTAATAATGTTGATAATGAATTAATTTAGCTGTTAACTGCACACGGAGCAAAGAATAAGGAAATAAAAGCAGTTATTAATTTAAAAAAACAATTCCAATGAGGTTATAAACTGTTTGTTCAGGACCCTAACAGGCCTCAGTTTTACTGACTGTGTTTTTCTCTGGACTCACCATAAAATGCGGCTGTGTTAATATCCGTCTGAGTTCTTTAGCTTCGTACTTCTCAGGGCAGCAGCAGATTTCTTCAAGCACCTGAAGAAACGCAGAACAAAAGAGATGTTTTAAGATCCTGCAGCTTGTCTTCTTATTTCCAGTCTGCTCACACTGGTACTGCCTTACTGTAGCTGCTGCACCTTAACGTTTCTGACCCCACAGACCCACTGAGACCCCCCTGGTGTCTCCCTGTGTCTCCAGAGTGAGACAACCTTCAGAGACCCTGGAACAAGTGAAGGAATGTGGTCAAGGCTTTGCCCCTCCTCCTCTGTTCTTTTCATGTGACCTGGTTAGATGTCAGCTCCTGTTCTGCTGTGCCTGACTGCTGAGGTGAGACCTTCCTTCACACTGCCTTAATGCTAACGTTGATGTCAGCTCCTGCCTGACTGCTGAGGTGAGTTCTGAGACCTTCCTTCACACTGCCTTAATGCTAACGTTGATGTCAAAATATCTGCCAGAATGGGGATGATTTCTGCAGAATCTTGGCGAGGTCTTCAGCCACAAATGCTGGCCTAGGCTAGGGAGTTAGCAACTGTTAGCAACTTTTAGCAACTGTTAGTGACTGTTAGCAACTGTTAGCGACTGTTAGCAACTGTTAGTGACTGTTAGCAACTGTTAGCGACTGTTAGCAACTGTTAGTGACTGTTAGCCACTGTTAGCGACTGTTAGCAACTGTTAGCGACTTTTAGCAACTGTTAGCAACTGTTAGCAACTGTTAACCCACTGTTAGCAACTGTTAGCCACTTTTAGCCACTATTAGCAACTGTTAGCGATTGTTAGTGACTGTTAGCCACTGTTAGCCACTGTTTGTGACTGTTAGCGACTGTTAGCCACTGTTAGTGACTGTTAGCCACTGTTAGCCACTGTTTGTGACTGTTAGCGACTGTTAGCCACTGTTAGTGACTGTTAGCAACTGTTAGCATCTGTTAGCATCTGTTAGCAATTGTTAGCCACTGTTAGTGACTGTTAGCAACTGTTAGCCACTATTAGCAACTGTTAGCATCTGCTAGCGACTGTTAGTGACTGTTAGCATCTGTTAGCAACTGTTAGCGACTGTTAGAATCTGTTAGAATCTGTTAGCAACTATTAGCGACTGTTTGTGTCTGTTAGCAACTGTTAGCAACTGTTAGCCACTGTTAGCCACTGTTAGCAACTGTTGTGACTGTTAGCAACTGTTAGCCACTGTTAGCAACTGTTAGCATCTGTTAGCAACTGTTGTGACTGTTAGCAAGTGTTAGCCACTGTTAGCAACTGTTAGCATCTGTTAGCAACTGTTGTGACTGTTAGCAACTGTTAGCAACTGTTAGCAACTGTTAGCATCTGTTAGCAACTGTTGTGACTGTTAGCAACTGTTAGCCACTGTTAGCAACTGTTAGCATCTGTTAGCAACTGTTGTGACTGTTAGCAAGTGTTAGCCACTGTTAGCAACTGTTAGCATCTGTTTGCAACTGTTAGTGACTATTAGCGACTGTTAGCAACTCTTAGTGACTGTTAGTTACTGTTAGCGACTGTTAGTGAGTTTTAGCTACTGCTAGTGACTGTTAGCGACTGTTAGTAACTGCTAGCGACTGTTAGCGACTGTTAGTGACTAGTTGGCAAACAACATTTGTGAGAGAGAAATGTCTTTAGGAGTTCTCCTCGCATAAATCACAAAGGCAGTTTTGTTGCTTGAATTTGAAACAAGTTAAAAAAAACTGCAATAAATTCTCTCTGAAAATAGTCACTAGCTGTGTTTCCATTACAAATGTGCACAAAACTTTGTCGATATTCTGTTAATGTTGAAAAACACAGTTACACAGCTG